ATAATAATAAATATGAAAGACATTTAAGGAAGTTCACAGAGTTGGTGGGAACTGACTGTACACAGTGTGATGTACATTGCTTTGGTCCTTCTGTGTGTAATTTTTTAAAAAAAATAATTAGTGTGTTATGCACATGGCTGAAATATTTCCCTTGAGTTAATGAATTTACGCACTGCATGGGTAGTTTTAAAATATGCAACATACTACATAGCATACACAACGTTACGCATTTTGTATTTCATGTAGTGTGGCAATTTATGGTGTATTCGTGCTGATACAACCCAGTCTAACACTGGCTCAATCTCTGCCCTGCCATAACCTAGTGAGTATGCACACTGATCTGAGAAGAAACATTAAACTTTTCAATATTGTACTTGGAATTGTAGAAGAAATACAGACTCTCGTGGAGAATGATAAGGTATTTTAATACCAAATAATGGACGTTAGGGAACTGCCTGTTTTGTTGTGTAATGAAAAAAAAAATACCAGGAAAAGAAAAATGCTCTTTTTATTTTCAGCAGTTACCTGTGTGTTAGAGAAATCAGTCAAGCAATCTGTCCTAACAGGAAGGTGAAAAACTCAAAGAAGGTTTTACCATTTTTTATATACAAGAGTTCAGAAAATCAGTCTCTACTAATAACAGATCAAATAAGTTTAGGGTTGTTTCAGTTGGTTAACAGCTCCCAATAAACACAGAAGTCCTATAACCCATCCTGACCCGAGACTCTTGTACCTCCTCAATACTTGACCCCTGGTGACTGTTCCACACTGTACTGGTTCGTTACTCGCCAAAACTGGTCTTGTTTTATTTACAAATTGAGATTAGAAAATAAACAGCACACAGGATTTACAAACACACCCCGTGTAACTGCATTAATAAAAATTTCAATTGCAAATTTGATGACTGTGAAGGTAATAACTTAAACTGTTTTGGTTACTCGTGCTTATTTCTTATTCCAATTGGAGACTCCTACTAACCAGCACAGCATGAACTGCTAACAGCAAAACATGCATTTCAACGTTTAATATACTATAATTTACTTCTGGAGGATAACTGATTATTCAAGCTCAACATTAAGATCTGCAACACCAACAATGCATGCACATTTAAATGGTTGCCAGGAACAATTCCATTGATTTGAAATTATTCCTTAATTTAACTGGACTGATTCAAAGACAATTCTTTTAATCATTAATTCAACCCTGATTTGCACCAAAGCTTGCTGGCTAAGAGCCTCCATCCTCTCATTTGATGCAGTACAATTCTTACTCTACCTGGAAGCTGAAGTCCATCCTCCTGTTTCACACCTGTATGGCGATTTTTACAAAATGTTAATGAATGATAAAACCACACACCCAGATATGTCTGAAACAAACATTTACAACTGGCAGGATTTCAGAGACTTGCAGGTTTATGGATTGAGTTACTGAGTTATTTGTACGTTATTTGAGTTTGGGCCTCAATCTGCACCAGCACAAAGCTGCTAGCCCCATTAGAAAATGAATTTAGGGGGTCTTGCTCTCAAGGACAGCAAGATCAAACTCTAAGATACTGTTCAAAGCTAGTCTGACATCAAAGAGTTTTACTTTGGGAAGTTTTGGCCTTTCTCCTTTTAACGTTCCTAGAACTTACCATGCCTAGCAGATACTGTGCATTTCTGTGTAGAAGGGGAATTGGAAACATTTAATCAAGTCTGTCATCAAGTAAAATGGGATTTCCTCGGAGAAACGTGGAGTCAAGTGCAACCGCTTGTTGAACATATTCAGAAATGGAATTTGTAGGTCATGAAAGCCATTTAAATTTAGCCTTCTTAACTGCAGCTTCAAATTAAAAGGATGGAAATGGAAAAGAAAGGTGGAATTGCACTGCCTGGCAGACACTGATTAAAATGTTCAGTGAAGCTATAACTACTCTTTTTTTTTAATAGTGAAAACCACTAAAAAGAGTGGAAATGTCTAAAAAAACCCCACGTTGATTGCCCTTTCGTTATGCCTGAAAAAATAAATACTCTTAGAACCAACTTGGAACAGAATTCTGAAAGCAGACACGTACAAGAAACGAGACTGAACAACAACCGGAAAGGACACACATTAAACATTTCTGCTTAGTGTGCAATCCATGAAGTAGCAATTGCTGATGACACCACCCTGTAATCAGGTTAAACGTCTAAAGAGATTTCATTAATCGATACAGGACACCAAGAAGTTAAACTGCCTGTTAACATTTACTGCTACTTTCTTCTCTTTTACTATTCTTAGCTTGACCTTTACTCCTTAAGAAATTCAAATGCCTCTAAAGTCCCTCACTGACATTAAACAACTAGGCTGGCAAAAAGCCACATCTTATCTGTGTTTTATTTTGGAAGCTCAAAGACAGACTATATTTCCATGGCCATTTTTTTTTTCCTGAAAAAAGGAACTACTACAGAGATGTAAATGCACAAGAGCAAAACCTTGGCAACTTTGGATTTATGCAAAGAACACACGGCAATGGGAGTACGCCCGCGTATCCCTTGCATTCAATTATGTGCTGAGAGCCTGCAGTTTCACACTGGAAAAACACCTTGTTATCCAATGCATTTATTGGTTAACAGCTTTTGCTGTTTTTCTGTGTGACGTGTCATGACAAAAACGTATTAAAAAAGAAAGGAAATTTTTACAAACGTATTTATTTGTCACGAATGGAGGAGAGCTCTGGCCACTCAAAGCTCAAGAGCTTTCTTCGGAGCATCCTTATGTGTTGCAAAATTTACCTTTCTTATCTTTCTTTTCTTCTTCTTCTCCTCCAGCACCGAGCAGAGTAAAGATGATGCCTGTCTGAGAATTCACACCCACCGCGGTTACAAGCATTCGTCCAGAGCCTTCCATGACATGAGTACCTGAGAAAAATCACACAATAAGTTACATGTAGCTAAAAAATTACCAAGAACAACCATTAAATACTTCATGCTAGACTTCTACTATAGGACTTGAAGAGATTATTACACTTCAAAATTCGATATTGAGGCCAATATAATTCCATACCAAATATAATCCCTCTTGTTTATTATTCTCAGCCAAAAATGGATGCTGTACCGCAGCTCTAGGCTGCACATCCATTGACCAGACACATTAGATGCCCTTTTTCAAAGAAATGTTGTCCCTAACTACGTTTCCCTAATCTTGGAAGGTAACAGTTTAGCTTCCCACACTTAATTCTTGTAACTTGCAAGACTATTAAATAAATGAAGTCAGAACATGCAGGCAATTTCTCTCCTTTTTCTCAGTTACAGCTGCTTTACAGGCATAGAAAAAATATTTTTGAGGACAACTTCACATCTTCAAACTTGAGAAATGAATACAGAGAAAAATGTTCAAAGGGATGTTTAATCAAATCAAGAAATTCCCAAACAGCAAGAGGACTCTGACCTACACTTGAAAACAAATTCAGTATGTACAGAGATTTCTATTGCTCTAAACCAAATCAAATGTACATTAAGTTTTTCCGAGAAGGATAACTTGTTTAACTAGGTAATTAGAGCATTATATGAAGTAAATTCCTTTTGAAAAGTTTTCCTGCTTTATTGTATGGAAATTGTTTATTTACAGCTCTTATTCCTGTATTGAACCAAGTGTTAGGTGCATCTAAGATCATCGCCTCCTTGAAACCTTTTGCTGTGAGCTGTGAAAACACAAGCAAATAGAAACTCCTAGAACTGACCAGAAGCCGCCTGATTCATATTTGGAAAAATTTTATAACAGAGGATTTGCAAAAGATCAGTCTGCACAATTTCACATGGGCTATTTCTAAAACAAGTCTGAAATTGAAGAACAATCTTTTGTTATGAAGTATTTAAGGCCATTCAATAAAAGCTTATGACAAAAAACGCCCCCTGCCATTGAAGCATAGCAACAAACGTGGCAAGGATGCTATCAAGTTGTGATTAATTTTTCATTTCAGGTGGTCTTAATCTAAAAATTTCATTCTTGAAGTAGTATTTAAAATATTTCAAGAGATATCCTTAGTAGGTAGTGAATTTTAAAAGATATAAAGCAGATTGTAGTGCTTCTATGAACCAGGTGAAAAACAAATACATAATGACCAAAACCTGCTAATAGATAGATTAATTGAAACAGACTCTATATTTTATCCTTTAGTGGAAGAAAACTATGTTATACTTATTTAGTGTAAGTCACTGTGAGAACACAGAAGAAAAGCAACCATTTCTTAACATAAAGTTACAGAGCAAGCTTGGATTGAAAGCTTACTGGGCTAGAGACTTTTTAAAGTACTCTTCCCTCTATTTGAAGAAGGAAATATTTTGGATACGATGAAAACAAACTGCAACACACAAACGTTGGCCTGGAGAACAAAACATCGTATACAGAGAAGACAAACACGTTTCTAACCCCAAGTGAACAACCGATGGACACGTGGTTAACTAGAACCTGCGCACAAAGCAGTCTGCTGGTTAACAACTGGTTTTAATCCTAGGTGCCATAGTTTTAAATTAATTAATTTATTCCACTTGCAGCTGTGGGACATCAGAAGAATGAGACCAGATGGAACCAGGACACAGCCCTGTACTTTTTATTGGGGGGAGCATGGGGGCGTGGAAAAGGAAAGCATTTTTACTCTTCTTTTGAAGCTGTTTGCTGGTTTAAGTCTTTAAGCCAACTGAACAGTTTGACCATTATGATAATAAACCAATTACACCACTTACAATATTTACTTTAATCCTTGCCTTGTCGCTGCAGCATTTGTGACAAACTACTATTCTCTGCTGGGTTTTAATCTACTGCTCCTTAGATCTTCACCTCATTTCAAAAGTTACAATCATCAAGTTTGCCATAAGTGTGAGCTTCTCCATTTACTTTCCTTAAGACAACATCACCATTTCACTCATTCTGTAACAGCATTAATTAGGTGGAGTCATTAACTGACTCGTCCTAAACAGTTCTGTGGCTAATGAGGTAAGAATTCTGGCTTGCTTCTTCTCAACCATCTCGCCTCTATCACTTCCCCGCTTCCATCGCTAATTACCATCACTAATTACCGCTCAGTATTGGAAACTCGAGTGAAGTCGCTCACTGAGGCCTGCAGTTCTGCAATGTGCCACAGCAGGGCACACCTGAAGCCATCATAAAAAGAGATCATCAGACGAGCTTTCCGCAGACTCCTGCACAATGCCTGTTAAACAACTGAATTATGAGCCTGCTGCACTGAGCAAATGGGGAGTATAATTAATTTCTGCTGGAGAATCTTATTGGGCATCCGGATCTACTAAACCTGAATGGCCATGGAAAAAGCCTTTCTCCCCTCCCTTTTTAAAAAGCATTTTGCTGGGTTCATCCTCATCTACATAACATTCATTTCACTCAGTTAGCTCAAAATCTGAAAAAGGAAAGATACACGGACCTGTGTTCTTAAACAGATAAAGAAACAGATAAATAGATCAGTATTTTATCTCTATCTATACACAAGCAAACTTACAACCCATTTAAAAAAATAAAATCTCATTTTCTTATTACTGCTCATCCAGTCGCTATCCTAGAACACACTAAGCAATGCAACTATCTATTCATAATCAAAATATCTTTCTCGAAATAATCAAAATCTCTCATGTTCTTAAAAGGAAAACAGAAGCACAGAACAGAGAGAACATCTGTCAACACTAAGCCTAATCTGAGAGCACAGACATCTCATCAGGACACTGAAAAAATTTCAGCAGAAATAAGCCAAATAAAACCACAAATGCACTAACAGATATATGTAAAACAAGAGAAAAGGTCGCAGACCTTCTCAGCGCATTGAGAACGGTTCCTACGGCTTTCAGAGATAAAATTTGACTCCTTAAAAAGCCATGTGCTTTCTTTCACACGACAGAGCAAAGCATCACAACCAAATCAAACAACAAAATACAAGTTACATTCAAGCCTAAAGGAACAGAAAAGATCTTTAAACACCAGGATAGCCTTAGTTGTATCAGTTCGGACAAAACAGAAAACATCTGAAGCTTAACTCAGAAATCTAGAAGAACCTCCTGCAAGATGTAAAACCATTAAAACCATATTTTACGTACAGACTTCCTTTCAGCATTCCTGAGTTTTGTTTTGAAGGGATCTTCTGTATTGGTCTGCAAAGGTGGGTAGATACATCCTCCAAAAATGGCATGTGCGCCTATGTTTCACAACCAGTTTCGGTCAAAAAAACCCACCCACCCACCAGCTTTCCATCTCCATGTTGAACAACTCTACTGACTTCTTTCCCTCTCAAGACTAATTCTTCAATAATAGTGAAATACAACTTTTCATATGCCGAGTATTTGATTTGCAGTTGATAAATGGTGGCTATACCACCATAGAAAAGGAACAAGTCCAGTTTAAGTAAGAAAAGAGACAAACAGATAAGGAACTTATTACAGCAGATACTTTTTTAGACAAAAATGCAACTCAACATGAGACTGCTCCGAAATCTCCAAATCTAGTACAGTACTGCTAAAATACATTGGAAATAGGGCTGAAAAAATAAGAAAAGGAAACCAGAGCATGCCAGTTTGAGGGTTTTACAGTGTTATGCTACTTCTAGCATAGAACAAAAATTCTCTGTCTGCATTTGCAAACAATTGTACTCACTGCAGTTATTAAGAGGTGACTGAAGCAAGCAATACAGAGAACCAACCATCAGAATACCCTCTATGAACAAGAAAAGAGCTTTCCAGACACAACTCATCTACAGGTAATTTCCACATATCCAATTAACTTGGAACATTTGACGTTAGCTGCTCTGTTCTGAACATTTCAACTGTGCTAGAAGCCCAGCTTGGAATATTTTCTGGCAGGGAATTAAGGCAGAATCAGAACTGCATTTCTCCAGGCAATAACTGACCCGATTCCTTAATCAAGCTTCCTTTTCATTTCCAAAACCTAACAATGCACCATGACCAAGAGATTTCTGCTGTTTATTTGTTCTCAAAAAAGCTGACTTTAATTTGTTTCAAATTCTGTGCACTGATAGAAATATGCATTTATCAAAGTTAGGATAAAGTAGTCAAGGGTAAAGTCAGTCTCAGTTCGGTGAAACTACACTAGTTCACCTCCTCTGTGTAACTCTTTCCTACCTTAATCAAATTAGTAACCTAAATACCTGGGGGAGAGGTTTAAGAACAGTAAGCTTCATAAAGTATTTTTTTACAATGTTATCACATAGCACCTCAAAATCCTTCACTGCACGCAATACTGAGGCCAGACTCGTATTCAAAACTTGCGCATTTAGGAATCATGGATGTCTCTGAACTTTGAACTTTGAACAGGGCTCGGTTTTGCGGCCAGTCCTGTTTATCATCTTTATCAATGATCTGGATGAGGGGATTGAGTGCTCCCTCAGCAAGTTTGCAGATGACACTGAGTTGGGAGGGAGTGTTGATCTGCTGAGGGTAGGAAGGCTCTGCAGAGGGACCTGGACAGGCTGAATCCATGGGCTGAGGCCAATGGGATGAGCTTCAACAAGGCCAAGGGCTGGGTCCTGCACTTGCGTTGCAATAACCCCATGGACGCTGCAGGGGACGAGTGGCTGGAAAGGACCTGGGGTGTTGGTGGCAGCAATGCCCATGAGCCAGCAATGTGCCCTTGAGCCAAGAAGGCCAACGCCATCCTGGGCTGGATGAGAAGGGGTGGTTGTAGGGCAGAGAGGTTCTCCTGCCCCTCTGCTCTGCCCTGCTCACACCACAGCTGCAATCTTGTGTCCAGTGCTGGGCCCTCAGCTCCAGAAGGACAGGAACTGCCTGAAAGAGTCCAGCTTATGCTATAATATCTTTACACTATAGATGCAAATCTCTGTTAATGAACTAAAAGAAGGAAAAAGCTTTAGACACATTTAGAGTGGAACTATGGGAAAGAAACGGCTTCTTTTGGTTTCAGGTATATCAGGGTCTGCATTTCCATTTCTGCCTTCCTAGGTGGTACCCAATGTGCTATATGCAGATGGAAATGAACCATCTGTTTTAGGCAGCATTTGTACTCCTAGAATTGCTTCTCAAGTAGAGTAATGGCTATCTGGATGATTAAACAGGACATTAAGCACAGAAACTCATTTAGTTTAATTATGTCACTGAAACTGATTGAATATTTTAAAAAATCTTGTTTCAGGTGACAATGGTGAAAAGAATCCTTCCTGATTCTGGGCGTTTATCTTTCACCAAACTCAGACTCACAAAACAATTCAAATGTTACCTTTTTTCCAGTTATTTTTCTGCCAAACCTGGACTGTTTACGTTTCCAACAGATGATTAAGGGAGAACAGTGGCAAACAGCGTCCTGACAACATTTGTCTAAATTCCAAAAGTCTGCTTGGAGATAACTTACTGATGTCTTCAGGTGCAAAGATAAGAGGAAAATTTAAGGTCTATTTGCTGTTTACTTGCAGGTTTGGTTCATTTGTTTGTTTTCTTTAAGCAAGTTTTATACAAATACAGGTCTAGGCTAACACCCAACAGGAACTCAGTTTTTAAACCAGGACAAATCTTCCCTGAAAGACATGGATGGTTGTTTCCAGGTTCCTGGTTTTGGATCCTAACAATTTCCAGTGGGCACATCGGCTTCTCCATCATTGAGATTAAACCTTGCACTGTATCTATAGAAGGAGATAGGTTTTTTGCAGGAAGGAATCTCAAATCATCAACTCTGCTCCCGAGCAAAGAGAGATCAGGGATTTTCTAACACAGCTCAAGTGAAAATTCATTAGTATAAGTATAGAACAAAGGGATGTGCGGTGCTTGTTAAAATACCTCATGAATTCTTCACCTTCTCCGTAATCACAATAGGGATTACATATTAACAGAGAAAAAATAAAGAGTATAAACTTGATTTAACTCTGCAGTAAAAACATAAAGAGAAATTTCTGTCTTTGTAGTAAAACACAGAATCCCAGACCGTTAGGGATTGGAAGGGACCTCCAAAGCTCATCCAGTCCAATCCCCCTGCCGGAGCAGGAACACCCAGATGAGGTTACACAGGAAGGCGTCCAGGCGGGTTTTGAATGTCTGCAGAGAAGGAGACTCCACAACCTCTCTGGGCAGCCTGGTCCAGTGCTCTGTCACCCTCACTGAGAAGAAGTTTCTTCTCCAATTGAAGTGGAACCTCCTGTGTTCCAGTTTGTGCCCGTTACCCGTTGTCTTATCATTGTTTGTCACCGAGAAGAGCCTGGCTCCATCCTCGTGACACTCACCCTTTAAATATTTATAAACATGAATGAGGTCTCCCCTCAGTCTCCTCTTCTGCAAACTAAAGAGCCCCAGCTCCCTCAGCCGCTCCTCAGAAGGGAGATGCTCCACTCCCTTGATCATGATGAAGATCATGATAAAGATGATCAAGATAAAGATGTTTGAGTCTTGGGAAGCAAGATAAAAAAGCATCGTTTCTCCCAACTTGACAGTTTTCCCTTTCTGTTCCCACCATGCCTTTCAGAGCAATAGCTTCATGTTTCACAGCCACCACTAAAATCTATAGGTATTAAAAAAGATTTAATCTAATTCAATTTAGGAATACGTGAGAACACACGAATGAATTGAAACTTCGTAAACAGAAACCCTCTAGAATTCAACACGAGAACATTTTAATTGCTGTAAGTTTATGACATTTCATCATAGAAGTTTATATAAGAAAATACCATCATTAAAACTCTCTCTTTAAAAAAATATTTCAGTTATGAACAGCACAACAATCAGCTAAGAAAAGAAGAAATTAAAAAAAAATGGCATAAATATTTCGAGGGCAACACTGGGTTATAAATTTCGTTAGGAACAGCAACAGCGAGCTACCCTTCCTCAAAACACCACTGCAGGCCTCCCTGTTGACGCAGTGGAAAGCATCCCCAAGAGAATTCCTGATCTACAATCAAGTTAAGTCTAAATATCTGCACTACTGGGATACATCAAATCATTGTCAATCTAGCAAAAATAAGCCAGTAGATTCATACACTACTCATAAAAGTCAGACCACTTCCTTAAGTTATCTCACAGCACACCAAGGGTCCGGAGGGACACCAGGAACTCAAAAGTGGCACCGTCCCCACTACTCAACATTTCTGTTTGTGCGTTGTCTGTAAATGCTGAGCTCCTAATTGTGTTTTCTCTGTGGAAATGCAGCCTCCGGAATTTGCAGCTACTCCACTAATATTTGTTATCCTTCCTTATGAAGTCCATGGCCATGGCAGGTCCACAAATAACACTAGCAGTTTCTTCTTTTTAAGATGATGCGGCCAACTTTTAGCTGAAATCTGATGGTTTTTTACCATAACTTATGTAACAGACGCTCATAATCTCATAGTCGGTGAATTAGTGATCTGATTTTAAGTTTGGAAAGGATTTGTACTGTTAATTCAATAAAAACTGTCACATATCTTTACTTGTCTCTACTCGGCTCTTCTGAGCAAAAGCATCATCTCCCAGCAGTTGCTGCTTGGGAATCACCAGCTCAGCGAGGCAGGATGGGGCAGGGCTTCTGCAGGAATGGGTACTTACCTGCTGCACTGCAACATGAATCTTCTATTTGGAATTACTGTTGGCAACCAGACAACAAAAAGAACCCTTTCCATGAACAAAAAGTCCAAAAATGAATTTGAAAATGACTGTTTCAGGTTAGTGGTGACAGCTCTGAGATCAGCGGGCTGTTATTTTGCAGTCACATCCCAGCTGGAATCTATTGACCACCCACCTATTTAGAAACTCTACCAGAATTTTAAAAATCACGTTCCATGTAACTGATTTACTGCACGGAATTGTATTACAAAATACAAAAACTACAAGTCACTTGAATTTGCTATAAAAGTCAAGCCCGTAATATTTGAGTATATACTTTTACTTCTAAGTGCACTGTTTCTTTATCTAGTATACACACAAAGCAAGCATTCAGAAACTTTAGGGCCTTGAAATTTAATGGTTAAATTAAAACTAGCGTACAGTGAATTGAAGCAATTGGTATTTCCCTGAGTGATCCTTTCCTTTTCCTCTGAAAATTCTCACTTCATAAAATAAATACGATCATCAGAAATGACTGCACACAATAAAATCAATAGCACGTCTTTCGTATGGCACACAGACAACAGTGCCTGTCTTCAACAGATCAGTTGTACCTAGGTTACCAAAACCTGACGGTGTGGAAAAACAAAACACAAAATTAACAAAGCGGTGCATAAAACATAACCTGGAGAGAATTCAGGCAGATTTACCTGACAGCAGCATTGGGTCTTTGTCAACAGATTTGCGGACTTGGTCTGACTCTCCAGTTAAAGAACTTTCATCAATTTTCAGATCATTTCCTTGAATGAAGATCCCATCCGCAGGTAGAAGATCACCTTTCAGTAAGAACATGGCAATGGAAAAACACAGTGGTTTAGTAAGATGGTATTTATAGCGACAAAATTATTTGTATTATAAAATTACAATTAACAACAACTACAGTTGTACAATGAAAGCAAACGTACTGATATCAGTCTGTATCAGCGATATCATTGCAAGCCTATAGGGAAGGGCCAGTATTTTTTGCCTAAGGCTATCACAGGATCAGAATGCATCAAATTTAACATATGATGAACGTAGTAATCACTGCGATTTGTCTGGAAGAGTACTCTTTTTAACATGACACTAAGGTTTCTCTATCAGACTTGTAGCAATTAACAGTGGCTGATAAACAGCCCAGCTGGCTTCCTTCTTTTCCCCCCAGGAAGCTCCTTACCCAAGTCCAGGGGAGCTTTGCTGGTTGACAGAATGGGTATTTAGTTGGAATTTGCCAGTTCAAACACAGAACACACAGACCTCCTGTAAAGTTCTTTCTGTTTGCTGAAGCATAGGGCTTTCCC